TCAGTTTTTGAGTGTTGAACTTGGCTTGTGGTCTATCTGCAGCTCCTGATTCTCTGAAAGCTTTTAATTTGATTTGGATTGTCCCTTGTACGAGATAGTGGTCTGAGCCAATGTCTGCTCCTCTTCTTACTTTTGTGTCCAGCAGGCTGCGCCTCCACTTCCTTGAGATTGAGATGAAGTCGATTTGGTTTTTGGTTCGCCCATCTGGTGACACCCATGTAGCCTTGTGGATATCCTTGTGTTTGTATACGCTGCCACCAATCACTAGTTCATTGAAGGCACAGAAGTCGGCGAAGAGTTCTCCGTTTTCATTCATTTCTCCGAGAGCTTCTCTACCCATGATGAGTTCCCTTCCTGTGTTGTCTGATCCCAGTTTGGCGTTCATGTCTCCCATTAGTATTTTAATGTCACCAGCTGGAGTATTGTCCATTGTTGTCTGCAGTTGTCTGTAGAATTCTTCTTTCGTTTCGAGGTCTGCGTTGTTGGTCGGTGCATAGCATTGTATAATTGACACTTTCCTTCCTTTGGAGTTGAATCTGGCGGTTATTATCCTGGGCGAGATCGCCTCCCATTGCATCAGGGCCTTCGTTGCCGTTGGTGACATCATGATAGCCACGCCCTCGGTGTGCGAGTGGTTATCTTCTGGGTGACCGGAGTAGATCACTGACTCACCCGTTGACAATTTGGTGAGTCCATTCCCGTTCCATCTGCTTTCACATATTCCCAGTACTTGAATTTTGTATCTTTTCATTTCGTTTGCGATCTGGGCAGCTTTGCCAATCTCGTACATAGTACGGACATTCCATGTCCCCACAAAGACTTTTTCTTTTGTCTCAAGGAGATACATCGTGCTGAAGTTTCTGTAGCAGGTTTGTTTACAGGGTGGGGTTGCTAGCCTCACGCCTGAGAAGGGGGGTTGTTACATCAATTTATAATTTAGAGAGAAGCGACCTTGTGGGTTGCTCCCCTTAAAAACCAGGAAAACAGGGAATAAACAAGCAGAAAAACACCAGCACGGGAAAATAATTCACAACAAGAAGGGTAACAAGCGACAACAACAATAATAATATCACAGTCAATTACAGTTAACCAAAATGATACCAAAACCATAGACTCACTGACTTGAGCCAACTTGAACATGTAAATCCATCAATATATATACAATTATAGGTATTAGTTAGTGTTAATCAAGCACAGAGTGGCAAATAGATAGTTATAGGTGATATTGATATACAATATTATATCCAAGGATTCAGTGTTTCAAAGTCAAATAATTGTGAAAGTTTTTCGCAACTTTTTGATAAGATATTCCACAAAAATCAGAGTTTTAGGTAACTATGTAAATGTAGCGCAGTTTTCGAAAAGCGCGCTCCATCTACCATCTTTTGCATTTTATTATTTCACATCTTCATTTATATTACTCTCTACCCCACCTCTATTGTGATCTCTACCCTCATTAACAATGTTGCTAACTCGACCCACGTCCAATTTCTAGTCAACTATATTACGTCATCCGATTAACTTACTTGATTTTCAACTGTATTATTCTCTACCCTCACCCTTATTTAGTTTAAACCACCACTCATTAACATTGCTGCCAACCTGACCTACTCTGAATTCTGCTTAATTGGATTACGTCATCCAATTCACTTAATCAATTTTATTTTATTTTCTATCTAATTAACGTTTGTTTCCAAGCCAAATAACACTTATATTACGCAATTATCTAAACTTTGTAAAACTATATATCTATGATAATTATGTCACAATTATAATACTTTGATAAAGCTATTAGCATTAAATAGCGAAACGTCAGTAAAAACAATATCGTTTTGTTTTTCATTCATTGGGAAATACAAAATAAACCTTTATTGTAATGAATACATATCTGTGAGTACAAATCATAAATGTGTGAATTAAAAAACAAAACAATTCCAACAGTTTTTCAAGTGTTGGTTTGTAGGGATTTGATTGGTTACAGGATTTCATCATGAGCTGACATTAGTTAGAGAACCATTGGAAAACCTGGGAGTACTGGACAGCTGTTTCGTCCTAGTTTGGGACTCTTCATCAGTACGCACCCATCGGGATTCGAACCCAGGACCTTCTGGTTACAAGGCGAGCTCGTATACCATTAAGCCACTGGGACCCGATCCAATGGTCCATGAATTCTAACTTCTGCCAATTCACGACATAGCGTGACCCCTAGCCAATGTCTTCGGCGAGTATTTGTTGGTGTGATCACGGGCAGTAATTCTGCTCGAAATATTACCGATAACAAAACTAATCATTGTATGTAAACTATTGAAATATAATTAAACTTCATTTGATCTATTTCACAATGCTCAAACTTTTTACTGACATTAACTCTATTTTCTATAGTTGGTTTGTAAGGATTCGTTTTGTTTTTCTAACGAGTTGATCACGGATTGATATCACTAATTGGTAGAAGTTAGAATTCATGAGCTGGCCACTGAATCGAATCCCACTGGCTGAATGGTATACGCGCTAGCTTGCCTTGTAACCAGAAGGTCCTGGGTTCGAACCTCAACCGGTGGGTATGTACTGCTGACGATTCCCAAACTAGGATGAAAAAGCTGTCCAGTACTCCCTGGAGTGTCTTCAATAGTTCTCTAACTGATATCAATCCTTGGTCAAACTCGTGGAAACAAAACTAATCCTTACAAACCAAATATAGAAGTTAAATGTATCGCTAAGGCTATATTTTCCATAAGTCTTCTTACTGGTTCAAGGATATCTGCTAGCCACTTGGCTATCTGATGGTGTGCTGAGTTGACCATCTCTATGATAGGCCGAAGTGGAACATTGTTCTTATGCACTTTAGACTGCTTCATGGCAAGTCTTGAAAACAACATCCTCGATCCTTTGATCAGTCCAATGCGCTTATACAGGAGATAAGTAGATGCTAAGTTTATAATTTGTGATGAAAAATTTGATTGAGGGCATCTCCTCAAAACTTTCAACGCAGCTCACCCATCAATAAAATTCACCTTAGAAAGTGAATCAAACATGGCATTTCCATTCCTGGATGTACTACATACTAGGAGACAAGACTATACGATCCGAAAACCAATATATCGCAAACCAACATGGACGGGACAGTTCATCAACTTCCAGAGCTTCGTTCCACTGATCCGAAAGCAAAATCTACTACGTGCATTATTTTCAAAGACTCACACCTGTTCGGAAGATACGATGGAGAATGAGTTAAATTCATCACGTGAAACTCGACTTGAGAACGGGTATCCACCAAAATTCATTGACAAAAACATGAAAGAAGAGCCTCCATTGCCAAAAATCACAACTAATCCTAAGAAAACTCTTTTCATGAACCTAAAATTCAAAGGTGATATCGACGTAGAAATTCTTAGAATCCGCCTTTCTAAATGTCTGAAGAAGACATTTACAACAGCGAACTTACCACGCATCACATTATCCAGCAGACAGTTAATCCAGTCTAACACCAACAATAAGATACTCAGTTTACTTGCTCGTATGGAGGAAAGTATATCGGCTGTACGCAACGCCAAGTCCACAAATGTATTCTGGAACATTGTCTAGTTTAGTTAACCATCCAGGGGAGAAAAGAAGAATAACAGCAGCTCCATCCTCGAACACCTTGTCAACTCTGGACATCGAGCACCCCTACATGAATGCTTGACAGTGCCACACAGAGTCCTTCAATATCGTACAAAAGGACTTCGTATAAGCCATATATATATATATATATATATATATATGAATGAAATATTCCCATATTGAGTCAAAAGAAAAAGACGTCAAAAGCGAAGAAAATTTTCTTTACGACGATTCATTTTCATAAGCTTCTCTACAATCGTATTTATATATTTAACAAAGCATTCATAAGACGACCAATCAGATACTGGTAAAATTTGTCCACGGTAAAACGTATTACGTAATGCAATGTGTAGCCTAGTTGGGGTGACTAATTGGAAGTTTGGAAATAGGGAGAAGTTGGCATGAAGTAATAAGTGTGAGATAATGACTCACCAGTATGATTGTGAAGAGTGGACAGGATCCAATGGAAAGACGATAAAGTGTTTTTTTTTTATAAAATATGCATGAAAACGCAGTGTTATTGATGAACAGTAATAGAGTGATAATAAAATATGGATGATGGGAATAATAATAATAGTAAACTTACATAATAAAAGGAAGCAAAATTATAGTAAGAACGTTACTCTGGTCACGGTAGGGCGAATGAATGTATGTAGTGCTTTGAGTGCAGAGGTCTGGTTTCAGATCCCGAATAGCCAATGATTCAGCGATGTACAGATGGCGTATGCGAAGTCCCTTTGTACGATATTGAAGGATTATGTGTAGCACTTTCAGGCATTCATGTCCAGAGTTGACAAGGTGTTCGAGGATGGGGCTGCTAGTATCCCTCTTTTCTCCTCTGGCTGGATGACCAAGCTGGACAGTGTTCCAGAATACATTTGTGGACTTGTCAATGCATACGACCGAGATGCCCTGCTCCACACGAACCAGTAAACTGATAAACGCACAATGAGGTGGCCAAAAGCGGTATCTTATCCTTGAGGTTAAACAGACTGGATTAACTGTCTGCTGGAGAATGTGTTGTGTGGTAAGGTGGCTGTTGGAAATGTCTTCTTCAGACATTTAGAAAGGTGGTTTCTAAGAATCTCAGCTTCGCTATCACCTTTGAATTATAGGTTCATGAAAAGAGTTTTCTTAGGATTAGTTGTGATTTTTGGCAATGGAGGCTTTTTCTTCATGTTTTTGTCAATGAATCTTGGTGGATACTCGTTCTCTAGTAGGATTTCACGTAATAAATTTAATTCTTTCTGTATCATGCCCTCCGAACAGAATTTTCTTCGCTGAATTCTTTGTTTTTATGTGTCAATTGGGATTATTAATTTAGTCTTTTATATTCATATTTTGTGATAACTGATCATACTTTCTCTTCATTTTTTACACACACACACACATGCACACAGGTAAGGCGAATACCAGAGGTATGCGAACTTCGACAATGGCAATCAGAATGGAGAAAATATAATCGTATGAAAGAGGAACAATCAGAAGAACAATCGCCTCAATCTTAATAGTGTTTAATATACAGTCCTTACACAGATGAAAATAATGTTATTATATTCTTCATTTCCATTGTATATCAAGTATAAATTGCTGAATCTAAATAAAGTGTTATATATGTGTGTGTGGAACTTCTACATTGTGGTAGTATGGAATTTTATATTGATCTGTTTATTAGATATCATACACAGTGAGTGTAACTGTATTATTAACTGGATGACGAAGTTTTGAACACAATTTATGACCGGTGGATAGCGACTAGCAGTGGAATCCAGAATGCGCATTTCCTCCTATTTGGAACTTGTCAACTGGATGTAACTGCATTCCGCAGTGAGTGAATGAGTGATGAAGTTCTCACGGAGACTCGAACCCAATGTCCATAGTTTCAAACGCCAAAGCGTTACCCATTAGACCAGTTGGGCCACGAGAGCTGGCCACCTCTTGTGCAACGGGTCATATTAATTATTTAATTGAATTTTAGGTTTTACCATTGACTAATTGGACAGAAGTACTCGGTCTCAGGTTGACATTTCGGCTTCTTGTGCAGATGCTTCGTCGATATCTGGGTCCAATCAATCGACGGGAAAATCTGATATTGAATTCAATTAAATTAAATGACCCATTGTACAAGAGGTGAACCTCGTGGTCCAACTGGTTTAATGGATAACCCTTTAGCGTTTGAAACTATGGCCACTGGGTTCGACCCTCCGTGGTGGGAACATCATCACTCACTGAGGAATGCAGGTATATCCAGCTGATGATTAGTCCCAAATGGGACGAAATGCACGTTGTCCTGGATTTCATCCACTGCTAGTCGCTATCCACCAATTAACTTCTAATTACATGCCCAGACATCGAAGCACCTGCACAAGAAACCGACATGTTAACCTGAGACGGAGCAATTTGGTTTAATCAATCGACGGGAACAACTAAAATTGAATTAAACAATTTATGACTATTCGTACTCATGTTATATATACCTTTGAGTTGATGCGTTCGAAAAAACTGGAAAGAACTCAATTCACTTATGAATTGGAAAGTGAGGAAGGAGAGTTTCCAATGTAAGATTCTATTATAAAAAGCAAGTTAAACACCAGTGTTTACAGAATACCCATACACACGCACATATTTAAACCGATAATTGAATTCTGGTTCATTCCACCCCATGTCATTAAAAATTCGATTGGTGAAATGTTTAAGTTATCATTATTATCTACTGTTCCCTTGAGTTCCCAGTGGAATATAGGGCTCCAAAAGCCCAATTCCACTTCGTCTTATTCTCTGTACTCCTTTTTCTGCTGGCCCCATGATTGCCAATAGTCTCTCATCTCTTGTATGCATGGCGGAATCGTCGTTTCCCATTCGGATTCCACTCGAATGATTTCCTGGCCTATGATATCATTCGAGGATCTCCGCAGTGTGTGTCCGATCCACGCATCACCATTTTCTTTGGGATATATTTTAGCAGTAGGTTCTTGGTTGGTTCCTTCCTGGAGTTTCTTGCTGCGTATCCTTTCTTTCTGGAAAGCTGGCCATTTGGTCTTCAGTGTGGAGCCAGAAAAGGAGGTAACTGTTGATATGGCGTGCTACGGTTTGTTGGAAATGCTTTTCGTGACACGCAGTGCAAGTTTCTGACCCAAATAGAAGAACTGACTCACTTAACATTCGTGTTGAAAATCGAAATCTTGTTCTTTATGCTGGCTGAGTGCAGAAGATTTCCAAACTGATTTCACACTGATGAAGGTCTGCACTGCTTTTCGGATTCTGGTGTGGTGAGAGCTGGCTGCTAGCCAAAGTTGGTAGACAGTAATTGACGTCAATGTTTATGTCCCCAATATTGGTGGTGAGAAAATGAGAACAAAGGCTTTGCGTAGGCGGATACAGTTAGCATATCGATGATCTGACACAGCCACAAGAGATGCAAGGTTAACTTTCTGTGAGAGACAACCAATCAAAAGACTGTATTTTCTACTATCAATAATCTACAATAATGTACATTAAAATCTATAAATATGTGTTGATTTTCCTTAATAAAGGATCTGTTGCCTGGCCCTTGTCTTCTGTTGTTACAGTGGGTGATAGTGGGGTAGTCTTTTCTAACTCCTATCTTCAATTTAAAGTCTCTGTTGAGTTTTCCATTGTGAATTCCTTGTCATGCGGCATTGTCATTCAGCTAACTGTTAAATGAGTTTGTCAAAGCTTTGGGGTACTCCATAGTGTTGAGTTAGTTTCCAAATTACTTCGGTACAGTCTGTAAATGCTTAAGTAATAGGGCACAAAAACTAAATAGTACCAAAGAAAATCTAAGGCCAGAAATAAAGCATATAATAGAAGCCTTGACACTAAATAGTTACTCCAATAAATTATTCCGGAAGAATACAGGAAATTGAAGAAAATGATATTGATAATTATAACAGTGAAGTTGATATGCACGACAAACATGCGTAGAAAGATGACTGGCATTCAAACCAACCGCAAACTCAATTAGAAAAAAGCTTTGTCAGTTAAAGGATCCTGCTATTGGAGCCTTTAGAAAAAACAATTTAGTTTATCTAATACCCTGCCTGCAATGATTGTCAGGTCAAAGTAGTAGAACAGGGGCAGTCAGTCAGACTAGCCGAGCATAAAAACCTATCAGCAAAATCTAGATTAGTTGACCCGAATAAGATAAGAAATCTAGAGAATAGTGCTGTAGCTATGGCACTATATGCATTTACGCACAACCATGCAACAGGATGGGACCAAGTAAGTCTTCAAATCTAAAATAACTAACATCGTGGAGCGAGAGATTGATAACAAAAGCTTCATTTATCGAATCAACTGACAACATGCGCAATAGAAATGATTCAACACGTGTCTATCTAGAAATTTCTACCACCCCTAAGACGAACAGGAAGGAATAAAGAAAACTATATAACTCAAAATTCGAAGTTACGCAGTTCTATTTGATATGATTATGAACAATAAATTGTTTTCGAAACGTCATCCAGAAAGACAGAAAAGGAGGGAATTGAGAATGAATCTTCAAAAGCTTTGAAGAAATTGAAGGACAAATCCATCATTACCTCGTATATGTATGAACATCTCAAGCTATTCTGTTCAATCATCCCAAGTTTATATGGTCTTCCGAAGATGCACAAAGATGTTATTCATCTTCGACCTATATTGGATATGCTAAACTAGCCTTATCATTTCACAGCTAAATGGCTTGAACCAGAAAGATCAAATCTATGTAAATATGGTCTTTCGAATACTGCTGACTTCGTCAGCTACGTTGATGAAATTTATATGACTTTTAAGCACAAGATTTCATTAGATGTTTGCTGTTTTATTTACAAATGTACCACTAGTAGAAACACTATTTGTTATCTATGTGATTACATTGACCTAAAATGCATAAACATCTGAGTGCCAACCAACTATCCGAAGCAGCTTTTATTAAAATGCACGACTAAGTGCAACTTCGATTTAATGACGTCATCTATAATCAGAAGGACGGAGTTACCTTGGAGTCTCCTTTAGGACCGCTCCTAGAGGATATCTTTATAATGAGCTTGAAGAATGACCCATGGAGAGAAACTATCTCAAGCTTGCATATGTATAAGCGATATATTGACGACATCTTCATTATTTATGATGACAGTTGTTCAACTGCTGAGCTTCTTGGAGAATTTGATGATTCTCACCCATCGATGGTTTTCACTATCGAAGAAAAATCGGATTCCACAGTCCACTTCTTAGGTGTGATGCTAGACAGAAGAGAGAATGGCATGTTAAAATGGTCGATTTACCGAAAGCCAACCATTTACAGGGTAGTACACTAACTTCAGCAGTTGGGTACCTCTAGGCCAAAGGAGACATCCTACCGGATATCCTAGAAGCTCTACTGAAAGAAACCGTCCAGATTACAGTGCGAAAGAAGACACTGTTTATGCGTTTGGCGTTCAAAAAATGGTGTTGTGGCTGCAGTGATTAGAAGTCGTTTACTTAAATGCATTAAGCGCTCCTTTCATGCAAGTGACTTATATTTAGTATTTACCAGCTGAAATATGATTCGACAATGCGTCAAGGATAAACTACCGCTTACGTCCACCTCTATGTGCATATACTCATTCATATGCCCGTGTGGAGTTGATTACACTGGGCATTGTAAACGTGTTCTCCGTAAATGCATAGCCGAACACTAACCGGTTCGGTTAATGAAAGGTGAGAATAGGACGACGAAGCCTTCAATTTGTGAACACCTTCTAGGGTCAGGTCATTTAGCGCCATGTGATTTATCCTTTAACGTTATCTACAGCACTAAATAAAACCACTCCAAAAACTTATATTTTCTCCACTTGTGTACAGGCCCGATGCTCTAGCTGTACATGAACAGAATCCTAAATTATGTTTTCAAAAACGTCTTCTTAAATTCCTTTCTTTACCTTGGTCATAGTTATGTTCTATTATTTTATTCTATTTTATCAATTGAATTCATTCCATTTCACTTCATCTCAGCCGCCCTTACTGTTATCATCGTACTGTTAACTTTTTAGAAAGCATTTGATAGTGATAGTGATGATAATAACAGTAGTGATATTAATGACGACATGCATGTCAAACATGCACAAGATAATGACAACACCAACAATGAAGAATCTAAATCATCAGTAGTAATTCCATACAAGGGAGGAACCTCGGAAACCACCTTACGCAGAATTCTTAACAAGGCAGGAATAAAAGTGGCTGGTATTCAAGCCTCCCACAAACTCAATTAGAAACAAGCTCTGTCGGTTAAATGGTGAATCCTGTGGAGCCTTTAAAACAAAACAATTTAGTTAATCTAATACCCCAACTGCAATGATTGTCAGGTCAGAGTAGCAGAACAGGGGCAGTCAGACTAGCCGAACATAAAAACCTTACTAAGTCTAGATTAGTTGACCTGAATAAGATAAGAAATCTAGAGGATAGTTCAGCTATACCACTCACTACATGCAATTACACACAACCATACAATAGACTGGATGGGATAGGATGACAGTTTTAAAATCTGGTGTCACAGGGTGGAGGGATAGATTGA